TAGCTGGCACCCCCCCTGCTATGGATCCATCTAGCTGGCCAAATGAGATTGGTTGTTCCAGTCTCCTGGATGGGATGCCCAGATTCCCCACTAGTGTTGGGCTAATGAGGCAGCGGGTGCAGCCAGAGTCTATTAAGGCTTTCACCTTCACAGCTTCGGGCATGGGGGGGATTAATATAGTCACTGTTTTGAAGATGGGTGTGATGCGTCCACTTACCAGGGGTTCGCCTTCCGAGCTGTCATCTGAGGCATCCACCGTCCCTGTGGTGTAGGCTGGAGTTCTTTCCCCTTGGTGAGCAGAGGTGGGGTTTTCTGCAATTTCCATCATTTTCATGGCTGTTTCTTTTGGCTTAGCTGAATACCCTCTGGGTTTGTTGATTGGGGATCTGTCTGGGTTGTGCTGGGGGGCCTTTGAGCGGCATTCTACAGCTCGATGCCCTTCTCTTCCGCACTTGAAACACCCCATCTGCTTCTTGGCTGTATCCGATGATTTCACCGGTTGGTGTGTCAGCTCAGGCGGGGGGCGGCTCCATTGTTTTCCTCGGCGATGCCTCTTCAATATGTCGATCTCTGCTTCCTCTGCCAAGACGTACCATTCCTCAAGTCGATGTGGGTCTCCTCGGGGCAGGCAAGCATCATATAGATCATAGTTTAGTCCGTCTTTGAAACGGCCAAGGAGGATGTCTTCTGGCCAATTCAGTTTGCTGGCAATGGCTCGGAATTCTTGTGTATACTCAGCCACTGGGCGTTTGCCCTGCCTCATCGTTGTTATTCTTTCACGGGCTTTGCGATCAGCCAGGGGGTCTTCAAACCGTCTTCTCAACGAGGACATGAAACGGTTGAAGTTACTGAGTTCTGGGGCATTGGAGTCATGCAGGTTCACCACCCAATCTGCAGCTGGTCCATCCAGGGCAGATTGCACGATCCGGATGCGGGCTTTGTCGCTGGGGATGTCCTGCCCATATTCCTCCATGTAGCTGAGGACTTGGGTTAGGAAAAACCCCAAGCGTGTTGGCTCCCCTTTGAATTTCACCTCCAACGGTGGACGTCTTGGAATGGATCGGTGCCTCCATTGTGGGTGGTAGTGTCTTCCGTCCAGATTTCCATCTGTGGTCCGGTAGGGGGTGGGAGCTCCTGGATCAGTAAATGTCCCTGGGGTTGCAGGTTCCACGTCCCCCTCGGTGTCTCTCCCTTTGTGGCTCCAGGAACTGGGGCGGGCGTAGGGCTCAGGAATCTCCTCTCCTAGGGAGCTGAGAGTTCTCTTCATCAGGTCAATAGCTCTCTCTAGGATCCAGTCTGAGTACGGCATACAGCTTCCTCCCTCTTCACTTGCGTGCAGGGATTTCTCCATCTCCTGCTTCCATTCTGGTTGCTTGGTTCCCCGTCTCAGGGTCACTTTTCTTGATTCCTTTCCCCACTCGCTTTTCTTTCCAACGCCCATCGACCAGCGAGGCTTGTGGTCCTGTGTCTCCACCACTTCTTCTTCTGAGAAATCTGGCCTCTCGGATCCCAACATCTGGCAAGGTTCCAACTGGGTCAGCGGCTCTCTTTCCAGGGAGTTTTCTCCCTCTCTTGCTTCGTTGTCTGACATGGTAAATTTTTGCAAAATCCCCCGGCAAGGGTCTACCTTCCAGGTGGATTAATTTTGCAAGTCCTGTCTAATGTAAGGACCCACCCCACTTTGCATCTTAAGAAGACAGAACTCTTGGAATAGCTCTTCCAACAGGAATCCTTTATTAAGAGAAAATGGTTGCAGGCATGCTAGACAGGACTTGGGGTTCAAGCTCTCCCATTCAAGGTTTTAAGGGGTTCCCCAGTAGTCCCACCCAATCAACCCCCCTTCCAGTGATAGTTTCAAGTATCACAATTCCATCCCCTTTCTTCTTCCGTCTGGATGGAGACTTCAGATAACTACATGAAAGGCAATTACTCTTCTTTGATATGTTAAAGCTTAGAGGCCACAATAAACACACATTCAGTCCTTTGAAGTGTGCTGAAGGAAGTGAGGGCCATAAAGCCCCTTTGCTCTCCCCCTTTTCTCCCTCTTATGGCAGAATCCAGAGAAGGCAGAATTGGGAGTTTCTATGTTTGATAATTAAAGATGAAATATAATTGGATTCTGACATTGACATTAGTCTCTACCGATCTACAGTCTCTACCGATTTACATGAAGTGAGCCCCAGTGAACACAGTGGCATTTTTTTTCCTGAAAATCTTTACCAACTAAAATGTCATCCTTTAAAAAAAATGGGGGGATGTATTGCTTTCTTCTTTGTTGTTAAGGTTTTTTTTTTTCTTTTTACTTTGGCATAGTTATGTATTCTACTGCTAGTGTTGTCTTTATCTACTGCAAACCACTCTGATCTTTTGAAGCTGGGTGGTGTGGAAATGTGATGAAAAATAAATATCTACAGATGTGTTCAGATAATTCTTCCAGAGATAGGTTGCCAATATTCATATATGTAATTTGCTAGGAATCCCTTTTGCATTCCTCTGAGAAACCAAATTGACAAGGATTGATCTGAATCATTATGTCTGTTGAGAAGGACCAAATCATGCAAATGCTTAGGCACCCAAGTGTTTTTGTGTGTGCAAAAAGCTTTCAAATTAGCAGATGAAAACCATTGGTTTGTTTAAGAGCATTCAATCATGGGGATTAGGAACAGAAAGACACAAAGCAAATTATTCTGTCATTTATTTATGTAGAGTAGTGTTTATGCAACGTGCTAGAGGTCCTTTAACTAATTTCCAGGAAGTTAACATTTTCAATTTCTTTTTCTTCTGGCTGGATCATGACAAGCAGAAAATCAATGGCAGACATTTTCACAGCAAACAAAAAGCTGCTATTCTGTATTGCTTATATCGGTTGATTAGAAACTCGCTGGTTACTTTGAGTTAGTTAGTCATTCTTATAGTTCAAACTTCCTCACGGACAGAGGTGTCCACAAGAGTGTCAAAAGTCAACATGGTTGCTATTGCACATTCAATACAAGTAACAAAAGATAAAGGTCTTTGATTGTGTGTTTCTCGATGACATGTTGACTTTCTTGATTCTTCCTACAGATACCTCTTTTATAATCAAAGTCCCATGCAATCAAAATGTACAGCTCAAATTTAAAACTGGCAGGACCACCAACTTTCTTTTTTGTAGCCCCTTACATGAATGCTCCTCAAATCTCTATAGAGATGCATATACGATAAAAGACATGTTGTTGTTGTTGTTAATTGCAAAGCCGTGTCCGATCCATCGCAACCCCATGGACAACGTTCCTCCAGGTCTTCCTGTCCTCTACCATTTTCTGGAGTCCATTTAAGTTCACACCTACTGCTTCAGTGACTCCATCCAGCCATCTCATTCTCTGTCATCCCATTCTTCTATTGCCCTCAATCTTTCCCAGCATTAGGCCCTTCTCCAGTGAGTCCTTCCTTCTCATTAGGTGGCCAAAGTATTTGAGTTTCAGCTTCAGGATCTGGCCTTCTAAAGAGCAGTCGGGGTTGATCTCTTCTAGGACTGACCGGTTTCAACACCTTGCAGTCCAAGGGACTCGCAGGAGTCTTCTCCAGCACCATAGTTCAAAGGCCTCAATTCTTTGGCGCTCAGCCTTTCTTAGGTAAATAAGCAGAAGATATTCACTAATCATGTTTTCTTTGAAATATATTTGAATGCATATTCTCTTTCAAACCAAAGGGGGGGGGGGAATAGAAGACATTCCTTTTTTTCTGCAAAGTGCTAATTTAAACTACATAGTACTTTTATATGTATGATAGACCCCCACCCAGTGGTGGGATTCAGCCGGTTCGCACTACTTTGGCAGAACCGGTAGCTAATTTTTTGTTGCTCAGGCCCAGAATGGACTTCCAGAAGCAGCATCCACACAGAGAACCGTTTGTTCACATATTTGAATCCCACCACTGCCCCCACCCATTTATACATATAAATTCTATCTTTTTAAGTAATTTAAGCAATTTCTTGGCACTTCAGCATCCTCAGTCCTGTATTTTATACAGTGTATCTTTCCTTGGTTTGTGGGAAAGCCAAATTTCACTTAGAATGGACGGTAGATTTAGTTAAAGAGTTAAATGATGAATAACATGACCAGGCACACATTTGGATTAAGCAGGCAGTTTAGCTTAATAAGTAATTCAACTACTTATTTTGTCTTTGAATATTGGCTGTGATTGATTTTGAAAACCCTGAGTAAATGGCTGATCCAGAAGAGGACGACGTCTCCTTAATGATTGGCCTTGCAAACAGAACATTGGTAGAACATTAAATCTGAAGTCCAGGGGGGCTGGATTGATAACCTCTGAAATGGATCCTGTAAATTTTCCCACACTGACCTTTGAAATTAATAAAATCAGTTCCGTGATGTTTTGTTGGAAGTAGCTTTTTGAAGACTGTCAAAGAGATACTTTTGTTTCAAATTTTGGATAGGATTGGCTACTCAGGATCAGTTTGGATGGTAAAAATAACTTCAGTCCATGTGCCTTTCAATCATGTTGAAGTGCCTGTTGTTCCACTTCAGTTTGAGAGATCAAGATTGAATGACTCAGTGTTCTGACTTGAGGCACCATCTTGAATTTAGATTGCCAGAAGCTTCCATTTATTTATTTTATTTATTGAACAAATTTATATAAGCTACCCAACTCATGCATAGATTACTCTGGGTAGCATATTACAGCAAAGGATGAGGCTACAAAATGTATGTGTGGGTATATGTGTGGTTCTACTAGAGCCATACTACATCTTGGCATATATGGTTAGCGTACTGATAAAACCTCATCTAAAGGACCTTCTGAGTACTTGGCAATTCTAGATATATGTTTTCTAGTTATAATGCTTTGTATCATTTGATGATTGGGGAAGTGAATAATAATAATTCTGAAGTAGATCACAAAAATGTCAAAAATTCATACTGAACAAGACTTGTAACTCATAGCTCTGAGCAAGAGCTTTTACTTGTAACCTCTGAAGGAAATGTTCCTTTTTGTCTTCATAGAAGGTGTTGATTATGGGCCAACGTTTATGCAAGAACCTGATCATGTGATCTTCCCCATGGATTCAGAGGAGAAGAAAGTGTCCCTCAGCTGTCAAGCCAGAGGAAATCCTGCCCCAGCCTACAGGTAGCTAATATGTTTTAGCAATGGAGTTGAGCTGTCTATTTTCATTCCAAGTCAGTGTAAAGTAGTTTTTTACTTACAACCTTTCATTTAGTGACCGTTCAAAGTTATGGCACTGAAAAAAAATAACTTACAACCATTTTTCACACGTCCATTGAATCCCCATTGGCCATGTGATCAAAATTCAGACGTATGGCAACTGTCTTGTATTTATGATGTTGCAGTGTCCCAGAGTCATGTGATCCCCTTTTATGACTTTCTGACAAGAAAAGTTCATGGGGAAGCCAAATTCACTTTACAACCATGTTACTAACTTAACAACTGCCGTGATTCACTCAACAGCTGTGGCAAGAAGAAAGGTCATAAAATGGGGCAAAACTCAACTGCCTGGCTTAGCAATGGAAATTTTGGGCTCAGATGTGGTCATAAGACGAGAATTACCTGTATTCTGTTTGTTTTATCTAAAATCCATTCCAGGTGTTATTTTAAAAGATTCAATTATAAAATTATCTCAATCTATTCATTGACGTACCTGTTTTTTTCTAAAAATATACATTTGGCAAACTGAAGCAATTGCCAATATATGCATGCTTACACAAAGCACTGCTTTCCTTAATGTACACTTTTGAGCCAATTTTTACCAACGGTGTTCATTCTTGTCTGCATTTTTACTTCAGTTTGAATATTGGTTCAGACTATGAGAATTGGATCAGTTCTTATTCAAAATCAACTATTTTTTTCTCGCCAAATCTAAACATGCTTAATGGGTCCATTCATCCTGCTTCCACTATTTATTATGTCCAGTTTGATTATGACGATTCCAAGTCTTCTATAGAATTTTTTTTTATTTCATTTATTTGTCTGATAGAAAGACTTGAATTATGAATCATCTATGTAAAATAAAGTACATTTTATATTTTCTTAACTGCAGGTTAATAATATGAAATTTACCATCATTATTTGTTGTGGGAAAAAAAATTTCCCCTGATCTGGAGCATTATATCTCAGAGAAATATTTTGAAGGGCAATCAATTCATAGATTTGCTGTTCAAGTTTTGGCCTTTATTTGTTAGTTTGTTTTGTTTCTATATTGCCTTACTCCTTTAGGACTCCTGGCAATTTACAAGAGACAGTAATGCAATAAAAGCATTCAATAAAACAATATAGCAAATTTAAATTATATTATTAAAAAATCCTGAATTATTATTTTAACCTTTAAAAATTCTTCCACACAAGTCCATGTTCAAAACTTCTTAAATCTCATGAAGAGAGAAGAAGTGATACAAATCTCTTACATAAAATTATTGCAGAGGCTAGTCCTGTAACTAAAAAGGAACTTATTTCTAATTTTTCCCTCAAGCTAACATAGCAGAGGAACTGTCAGTACATGTGATTTATTTTCATTTATTTATGTAAACATTTATGTTGCCACCCATCTTTCAGCCAACTCTGTAGAGCAGAGGTCCCCAATCTTTTGGGCACCAGGGACGGTTACGTGGAGAGAGGTTTTTCCGCAGACCGGAGGGGGTGTGGTTTTGTGTACTGCCTGTATCCCATAGATGGGACTTTGCTGGTTTGTGTGGATCGGTTGCTGGCATGCTGCAGCCCAGTACTAGCCCATGAACCGGGGATTGGGAACCCCTGCTGTATAGTATCCAATCAAATAATGTACATACTGGACTGGCAGTTCTCCCTAACATAGATGGAACTCTAGCCACATAGAGATTTCTAATAAAATAAATCACATTTTCCATTTTCAAGCATATAGTTAGAAGCTACAACATTGGTTTTATGTGCAAGAAGCAGTTCTCACGCACCAGTAAGTGGGCTGTTGTATTTTTTGCTAACTGTATCTTCAACAGCAGTTCTGTATAAAGAACATTGCAACCATTTGTACAAGAGTTGATAGGGTTGCAGGTTATGGATGCCAGGACCTCTTTCTCTGAGTAAGGCTGTGACTCGTGTACTAGCTAGAGATGAGCAAAACCTCCATTACCCATAGATTCAAAGTAGACAAGGGGCTAATAGACATTACCCATAGACTCATTATACTTTACTCAAAGACATTACCCATAGACTCAAAGTAGGCATCAGACAAAGTGCATCACTAGGTTGCAAGACCTGATCCTTTAAGGAGATTACTATCCCATCCAGAATCACCACTGGAGCAGAAAAATCAAGTCATTTCTGGACTTTCCAACAATGCAGGCTTGCTAGGATTCAATTTCAGCTTGTTTTCTTTTCTATCAATTCCTGCAGCTTTCAGATATCTGGTCAAGATTTCCACTGGGTCACTGGCTTGGCTTATGTTGAGTTGGTCTTCTGTGTAGACCTTTATGAATATTACTTTTCAGTATATAATTTACATTATAGATGACTGAACATCTACCTTATGCTAGAAGCATTGTATGCAAAGTGTGATCAATATGTGGATGTTTTAAAAAGATCCAGCATATGTCATTTACCTTCCAGTTTATTCCTATATTAACCCTTGATCATCCCTTGAGCATTCTCAATAATTTTACCAATTAACATTCTGCATTTGGCACAATTTCTGTAATTGCAAGAGCCATACCAAGCTTGGCATGATATAGTGAGAGCTGACCTCCAAAAACAGGCAATGCCAGGATCCAAGGTATAAAATTAGTGCTATAAACTTATAGAAGACTTAAGAAGTCAAATTCTGGAAATTTGCACATGTAGAAGAAAGAACCTGGGGATGGTGTGAAAAGGGGGATCAGCTTAGAATCCCTATGTAACCACAAGAGAAGTAAGTCCAACTCCCCCCCTTGAACCTCATTTAACTCCAAGCATGTGCCAACCATTAGTTGAGAAGATTCCTGGGCCTAGACTGAATAGCAATATTTATTAGCAAAAAATCAGCATTTTTAATAAACCACCTGTAAACCTGGTCTTTCACACCTGACAGTACATTTCAGAAATGATTTGGAAGATGTCCTTCAGACCTTACATAACTGCAACCATAGCACCTTCCTATTATTCACTTAAGTAGCCTGACACCTTTTGGGAATTGTACACAAAAAGTACAAGTGGGCCTATAAATGTAATAAATAAATAGAAAAACAGATACCACTGCTTCAAGATCTGCATTAACAGTCATGAGCGATAATCCTTGACTTACAACAATTCATTTAGTGATCATTCAACAGCACTGAAAAAAGTGACATGACCATTTTTTACACTTATAATCATAGCAGCACCCCCATGGTTACATAATCAAAGTTCAGATGCTTGTCAATTGACTCATATTTATGATGGTTGTAGTGTCCCAGTGTCATGTGATCCCCTTTTGTAATCTTCTGATAAGCAAAGTCACTGGGGAAGCCAGATTCGCTTAACAACTGTGTTACTAACTCAACAACTGCAGTGGTTTACTTAACAACTATGGTGAAAAAGGTCATAAAATGGGGCAAAATTAAGAAATGTCTCACTTAGTAACATAAATCTGGGGCTCAACTGTGGTCATAAGTCAAGGACTACCTGCCCAACTACTTAGGCTGACCAAACATACAAGAGAATGGCTGAATGCATAATCATGCTAAAGTTTCATTCTTTTCACAATGTTACATACAGTTTGCATCTCAGAAATATAGGAGACAGTTGGGTACACTGGTAGAAAATGTGCTGGAAATCGTGTATTAGAAGTAAAGCTACAAAACATTTTCTTTTAAAAAAAATACATTCTAGAAAATACCTAGGCATCTCAATATTTTGCATATGAATGTTATGAAAATTTCTAAGCTAAAGGCCAGAAAAACGTGATCTCATCAATGGCACCAAAATTTCTTTTCCACTGTCTATGTCTTCTTGAAGCTTATTAAACTATTTGTTTTTTCTTCCAAGGTGGCTCCGGAATGGAACCGAGTTAGACATAGAAAGTGATTACCGTTACAGTATGATAGAAGGAAGCCTTATTATCAACAATCCCAGTGAAATAAAAGATGCTGGGCAATATCAGTGTTTTACCACCAATGTCTATGGTAGCATTTTGAGCAGGGAAGCCACACTTCAATTTGCATGTAAGTAACAATTTTGTTATCCCACTTTATTACCACTTGGGTAGAGTTAATGAAGTCATATTGAAACAATGCGAAAAAGTCTAATTGCATCATGAAGAACCAGACAATTATATTCATATCTATAAATATAGGAATTTGCTATATACAGGTGGTCCTTGACTTACAACCATTCCTTTAGCAACCTTGCAACACTGAAAAAAGTGACTTATGACCATTTTTCATACTTACGACTGTTGCAGCATCCCTGTAATCACATGATCAAAATTTAGATGCTTGGCAACTGGCTCATATTTATGACGGTTGCAGTGTCCTGGGATCACGTGATCAGCTTTTGTGATCTTCTGACAAGCAAAGTCAATGGGACTTAATCATGTTTCTAACTTAACTACTGCAGTGATTCACTTAACAGCTGTGACAAGAAAGGTCACTTAACAATGGAAAATTTAGGCTCAATTGTGGTTGTATATCAAGGACTATCTTGTATTTCACTATTTCAATGCAGAATACTTTTGTCTGTTTATTTTTTGTATTAAGCATCTCTCCATTGGTCTGCCCAAATGTCTGGATCTGAAAAAGCCCCAAGAAGTATATGATGTTTTCCTAGGATTTAAATAACCTCCTGATGTTTTCCCCTGAACTCAGTTAAATTGTGAAAAGTGTGAAAAGCTAGAGAGGCAATAAACAGATTGTAAATGAAGAAAGACAAACATAAACATCCCTCAGCTTCCCCCCTAATTAATGAAATTCAAAACTCATTGATCAAGAATTTAATGCCCTTTTGGGCGAAAAATAAAAACAAATTATGTTCCATCAAGGCAGTGGTTCTCAATTATTTTCTGTCATGCCCCCCTAGGAAGAAGAAAACATTTCTCGCGCCCCCGCGTGACTGTCTATCCAATCGGGTCCTTTGCGTGTGTCACGTGGTCCAATATGACAGTATTTGCCGAGGTCAAACGAGCCCCCCTTTACAGAGCCTCGCGCCCCCCCTGGGGGGCCCGCCCCACTATTTGAGAACCACTGCATCAAGGGAATGCAAACCAGAAATACAGAATACTTTTTGAGCTGTTCATCAGATCTGCTGAAGTGAGGAGTTCAAGCAATAGTGGGGAACCAAACCAGACTTTGCACAAAAGAGTTAATGACACAAAGTTGACATTAAGACTGAAAACAAGGACAAAGAAATTGTTCCCCAAGTTATTTTTACTTTCCTTGATTACAAATCCCAAAGTTGACAATTTTGAAGAAAGAAATTACTGTACACCAGCATTATAGAGCAAGAGACTATTACCAAGCTGACAAAAATCAAAAGGTTTTAGGCTACCTCAACAGGTCTTATCTAACACAATGGGTTTTTAACACAACTGGAATTGTTAATTGATGAGATATCTCCTCAGTCCATCTGCCTAACTTGTGATCTGCATTTGCATAATAATATTTTCTCCCTACCAAACCCATCTCATCCCAGTTTAAATCTTACATCAGTTCAGGCACTGCATGAAGCTGACAAAGTGAGCTTATGCCTTTTAATAAAATTTGTTAGTGGCTTTAAATAAAACTTAAACAAAAAGATGAAGCCAGATTCCTTTTGATCCTACCTGTCCTTATGAGGAACATTTTTTTTTTATAACCCAGTCTGAGAAAATAGATTTTTGCATCAAGACCTTGGCACTAGGATGCAGACAATGAACTTTCTTGCTAACAATTGAATAAGCACGTTCAATTATAACTGATCCCTTTTTAATTTGGATAAATCAACAATCCTAGTGGAATATTGTGTGTATCATAATAAATCAACGAATGAATCAACATAATAACATATTAACTAAGACAGAAAAGTACAACAAACCCATTGTTTTATAATAATACATATATAAAACAATGGGCTTCATTGTATTTTTCTGTCTTAGTTAATATGTTGATTCATTCATTGATTCATTATACATCATAATGGCATTGTTGATTCTTAGTAACAGATAAGTAGATTTTCTCCACGATGGTCTTTCCCTAACCCAGTCTTTCAATGTTGCATTCAATACCACCCAGAGTTGGCTATAATAAAAAATAAACCGAATCAATCCACTTTGCTGTTAGTTGTCCCTTTCTCTTTCCTTCCACCTTTCCCAGAATTGAAGCCTTCTCTAGAGCAGCAAATATACATTTTATTTATTTGCCTTTCTTCTCTTGAACCAGAAGACATGTAGAACAACTTCATCACATCTCTAAAGTTCCCCCAAATAAGAAATACCCTCTCAAGATTTGAGTTTATTGCCTTGCTGACAAGGCATTTAAATTGATAATGTGACATCTCTGATTTCCCTCACAGCCCGCTGAGTGTAGAACCTGGAAACTGCAAGCCATTGATCAAAAGTTTAATTCTTGCAAATTTGTGTCAGACACAAAATGAATTTAGAGCAAGAATCCCATGCTGTTCTCAGCTTTATCTCAATATTGCCACACAATGAAATTGATAGGGTACATTTAAATACACAGTGTGATGCTTTCTAGTGGATTTGGATGATTCGGATAGTAATCTAAAATACATATTTTTTCTGAGATGGAGGAATCCATAGGACCCAGGATGTCAGCAGCAAGAATTCATATTAGATATTAGAAAAGCCTTCCTCCTCATCAACAAAGGCTAGTTTTCAAAAGTGGAAAATGCATGGAGGAATTGGGCAACAACTCTGCTGGAAGGATAGAGGCTTTGAATGGTTCTACATCCTCATCCCAATCCCTTCAAATGGGAGGGAGGGAATAGGCCAAGTATTTGCCTTACTACTTTTTTATAAGGTCCTCTTTTTAAAAATCAATCAATCAGAATAGAACTGGAAGGGACCTTTGAGGTCTTCTAGTCCAACCCCCTGCTTAAGCAGGGGACCTTATACCTGTCTGTGGAGATTCTCAGTCATCCAGGCCAGGGTTGTCCCAAATGTGCTTTTTCACAAGATAACTGGACTTTCTTTTTTCTCTTTGAAAACATTTTGCTTCTCATCCAAGAAGTTTCTTCAGCTCTGACTGTCAGAGCTGAAGAAGCTTCTTGGATAAGAAGCGATACATCTTCAAAGAGAATAAAGAAAGTCCAGTTGCCTTGTGAAAAAGCACATTTGGGAGACCCTATACCATTTCAGACAAGTGATTGTCCAGTCTTTTCTTAAAAACCTCCAGTGATGAAGCACCCAGAACCTTTGATGGCAAGCTGTTCCACTGGTTAATTGTCCTCACTGTTAGGAAGTTTCATTTAATTCCAGGTTGCTTCTCTCCTTGATTAGTTTCCATCCATTTTTCTTCTCCTGTCCTCTGGTGCTTTGGAGAATAAGTTGACTCCCTCCTCTTTGTGGCAACTTCTCAAATACTGGAATACAATGATGATGATGTTATCTATTCAGTATTGTCCAATTCTTGATGATTCTATGGGCTAGGTTTCTCCACATCTTCTGCATCTTCTGATCTTGTACTACTTCTCTTAGTGTTCTATGCACAGGATGGTGTCAGCTTTGATGGTATCCGGCCACTGTGTTGTTTGGTAGCCTAGTTTCCTTTTACCACTAATCTTTTCCAAGCACAATTGCTTTCTTCAGGGAATGAATGACATGACCAAAATAAGTGAGATGCAGCTTTGTGATTTAGTCTTCCATTGACACGTCTGGTATTAAAAAACAGTAACAAATAGGAAACTAGAAAGCTGCAAATCACCCATCTGTAGCATTGTTTCTCCAGTTTAGATATGTCTGTTAACCTCAATGCACATGAACAATGCAGATGATTCCAGCTTAGTGTTTTTTTGGAAGGATGCCCAGTTGTCAAAAAGACAAACATACCTGAAAGGATTAGAGGGTAACTTGAAATGACTATTCATTTGAATGTAACCTTCCTTAAACATTTTGAATTTGACCATTAACTCCCCAAGTTTCTGGAACTATGAGATCCATGTGAATAAAGATATCCTCCCCAGTTTTATTGTAAATACCCAGCAAACCTAGATTTCATCAAAATGACACAGGCAGTGACATGTTGACAGATTCTAGCATTATCTACTAGTATTCCAATTCCTGACACCAATGCATACCCTGAATCAGCTTTTTCATCCCTGCAGACATTTATGCCTACACCTAATATACAGAGTTTCCATAGCTAGAGTTGATTGATTGATTATGTGCCATCAGGTCAGTATAAACCCTTAGTGAGCATATAGATAGTTTTTCTCTAAGAAAAGCTTTCTGCTAACTTTCTGTATTTATTATTGTTTGTTATTATCTGGTGGACATCCAGAGTTTTGAAAAACCAGCTTTGGTCCCACAAAGAATTAATTTCTCCTCCTCCTCCTCCTCCTCTTCCATCCTCCAAATGATATCTTTTTTAATTGCACTATATCATTGCAAGCAAGACTATAGTGAACTGAGAGCTAAGAATAAGTTTCCCCTTTCTTCATATTCTCTCCTTTGGAACATCCTAAAAACTAGTCCTTACTACATTATTAAAAAGTCATATTCTTCTGAAAAGCATTTTGGAATAAGTAAGATCAGGCTATGACAGCCAGTTTGTTGTGGTGGTTAAGGCATCAGACTGTGAGTTCCAGTCCAGCCTCAGGCATGAAGCCAACTGGAGGACCTTGGGCTTGTCCCTTTCTCTCAGCCCTCAGAAGAAGGCTATGGCAAACCAGTTCCAAAAATATTGCCAGGAAAACTTCAAAAACTTGCCTTTGTTATTGCAGGGATTTGTCCAGGCAGCCATCAGAGTCAACACTTTAAACATCAAAAATAATGTTTAAAGAAATGACAGTGTCCTGAATAGTGACACGGCAAATAATTGGTTATAACTGTATTCTCTGACTTCAGTTTTTGATATTTTACCTTGTTTCTGAAATGCTGCAATATGGTACAATGAGTAGAAATTGAGCAGAACATTAACAGTAGAAATAAACAAATTTGACTTCTATTCCTAAATAATAATCCAGTAAGTTTAAGAAATAAGGAGTAGAGTAGGATACATAGATAAGTTCTCAACAAGCTTTGGAAGATAAGATGGTTTTTTAAAATACATCAGTGTTGATGACAACCAAATGCTTCTGAGAGGGAGTTTCACAGCTCACAATCCTGTGGCACCTGGTATAAGTCAGTCACAATAGGGACAACTGGAGCATAGATCGTAGAGTGTAGTCTGCTATCTATAGTCCACAGACCATCTGTTTTAGATGTTCAAATAGAGGGGTTTTTGGGGGGGAGTTGTTGCTTAGAGACAACTAGACTAAGCATGAAGCTGTCTGCAAGAACCTGAAGGTATTTAAGTGACACAAATAGCAGAAGTTGAGAAAATACCCAAATGCTCAGGACATGGATTTAAAATATTTTAAAATGTTAACTATGTTAGGCAGATGCTAATATGATTACTGTAGTAACATGCAGAAGGATATTTTATGTGCTTTTCCTTGGCTCCAAAGTGTGTTTCCATTCACTTTCAGTTGGACCTCAATTGAATGGAAGTATCAACAGATAATTAAAATGAACAGACAGATAAAGGAAGTATGTCTGAAATGGTTAAGGCTTGGTCAACTTTTAGGGAAAATATGACAACAGTTTTAAGAGACTAAATGTGGATCAATGATATGTTATCAATATATAGCGATATCTCTACCAGTGGCTCATATTTGTCAAGACTTCTCAGCTTCTATTCTCTGTCAGGCTCATGTGAATATCCATAACTACATGCCAATGAGACACAAGAGGCACCTTGATGAGATAGCTCTTGAGCAATCAAGTCAATTACACCATAATGATTCAGATCTACAACTGCTTAGGTCAACACTTTTTGCCGAGGGCATGAGCATAATTCACTTAAGCCCAAAGTCAATACTGCCCCGTCTATGTCTTTTGAAAGAAGAATGAAGTGTAATTAAAGTGATGTCTGAAAAAAAAAGATGGCATAGCAATGCATGGAATTCAATCAGGAATTGTAAAAATTGTGCTGTTAAGACACTGTGCACATCTACTTTAGGGAAGATCAATGGAAAACAGGAAAACATCTCTATGAAAAGAAGTGATTAGTCTTATTTTTCCTAATGCAATAAGGGAGAGTGGCTTTATTTGCAATTCGTTAGATGTATCTAATACACATGTCTGACAATGAATAGGACTGATACCCAGTCTGGGGTGGTTTGTTCATTTGCATCCTCATGATGACTCTCCTGTTATAACAAAGTAAAATGTCTTCTGTTCATAGATTATTTTGTTGTTTGAGGTTTTTGTATGACTATGATTTAGATGCCGCCCTCCAAATCTCTCCAGCAGATTTCTCAATTTCACTTTCTTCCCCCAAGTTTATTCTGTTGATTGTTTCTGGCTCCTTAAATCTATTTTCCATTTAGGATACAAAAAGACAAGTACCGATTAACTATAACTCATATCTCCCTTTGCCAATGGTTGCAGCATAATAACTATTCACTGACAGGCAGGATAAGAAGTCCTCAGTGACACAGACAAATAAATCAATGGGTATTGGACAACAGACTTTATGCTGCATGTTTCATCCTGAACACTGCTGACAGTTTGCTGGAGTCCTTGGCATCACCTGCAAACTGCTTTTAATGAGTCTTACTGTCTTTGATGGGTCATGATGATTACTACATACATTAGACCCAGTCCCGTTTGGCTAGTAGATGTTGTTCCATAGGTAAGTGCCCTTTTTGTTATCAACAGATGCATCCCACAGTTTCACTGGGACCAGCTCTTGGTTAGATCTCTGCATCCAGATTTATGTCTGCTGAAGGTAGCTTCCCATCTTGGTGGGACCATGAATCTTGGAAGCACAGTAAAAATAGGTGTAGCATGAAAGGTATTCAGGGAGAATACATACACACAAGCACATGCTAATAGTTTCTATAGATGAGTCTTCTTTGTAGGAGCAGGAAGTGTCATGACACTGTTGGAACATCAGCTCCATGAATCTTCCTTGTCTAGGAATTCTAGCAGGAAATTTGGAGAGGATTCAGTCTGCAGACACTTCTGCTTTCTGCCTCATACTCTTCATGAGTCCATGCTTTTTCATTTAATTACCCTTTTGTATACTCCTTTTGGATTCTCAGTATTAGTACCTAGTTTGGTCTAGTGCACAGGTCGGCAACCTGCGGCTCCAGAGCCGCATGTGGCTCTTTGAGCCTTCCCCTGTGGCTCCCAGCCTCCTCTGCCGTTTGCAAAGAGAGACAGAGAGAGGCACTTGCGCTTCCCTGCTTCTCTCTCTGTCTCTCTCTCTCTGTGTGTGTGTATGTGTATGTGTGTGTGTGTGTGTTTGTGTAAAAGAGAGTGCACTCACAGTGTTCTCCGAGGAGCTGAAAAGCTTTTTGGGCGGGGCTCCTCCCTTTGCTGCGTCTCTGCAGGAAGTAGGAAGCAGGAAGGGCAGGAGAGAGCCAGCTAGCCCAGCTATGCTGACTCAGGAATTCTGGGAGTTGAAGTCCATGAGTCATAAAAGAGCCGAGGTTGCCTACTTCTGAGCTTGTTGGAGAACAGCTTGCCAGGTGAGCAGCAGATAGGAGAGAGGGGGGAGAGAAAGAGAGAGAGAGAAAGAGGGAGGGAGAGAGAGAGAGAGAGAGAGAGAGAGGAAAGAGAGAGAGAGAAAGAAAGAGAGTGGGGGAAGAGGACTGGCAGATCAAGGGCAGATAGAGAGAGAGGGAGGGGGAGAGAGAGAGAGAGAGAGAGAGAGACCCTTTTGACATCTAAAATGAAGATAATACTGCATATATCCTTTTTTACCTTTATGAGTAAAAAACATGCTCCTAGATTGGAGCTAAATGCAGAACAGACTGATTTATAGTTGGTAGACCGGGTGCCTCACCCAACAGATAAGATAGATAGATAGATAGATAGATAGATAGATAGATAGATAGATAGATAGATAGATAGATAGATAGATAGATAGATAGATAGATAGATATCAAAAGGGTTTTGCAGCTCCCAGTGTTTTGTTTTCGGTGGGAAATGGGTCCAAGTGGCTCTTCGAGTGTTTTGGGTTGCCTACCCCTGGTCTAGTGGTTAAGGCAACCAGGTTAGAAAGCAGGAGACTGTGAGTTCTAGTCCCATGAAAGCCAGCCTGGGTGGCTTTGGGACAGTCACTTTCTGTCACCCCAATTCACTTCATAGGATTGTTGTTATAAGAGGAGGAAGGGGTGTTAGATATGCTGAGCTATTTGTAATAAGTAAGTGAATAAATAAATAAACCACATCATAATATATTTCCCCACCGTTTCTCCTGCAGTTGATTAGAGGATACACAAATTATACACACACATATACATTTTTGGTCTCTCTCTTAGAGGATACACAATACACACACACACACACACACACACACATAGATTTTTGGTCTTTCTTTAATTTTTTTTTTCTCACCATACCCACTATGATATGTTATGGATAGGAAGAAAGAGCTCTTTGCCACTGTTGATTCTATATGGCACAATTATAATAATTAAAACACCTACACAGAATCCAAACACTAATTCCAAAAATCTTTTTTCAACAGATTTCAAAAGAATATACAGAGTGTGCAGAATAATATAGATGGCCAGATAAAAAAACCTGTGCTAATGGAAAATTAATGGAGGTACAATAATTAGATTAATTAGGTACAATATATTAGATAAATATATTTGTGGAGTTAGTTGCCTTTTGCTTTTTGTTACCTTCTCCTGTACCTTGCAGAAATAGGACACAGGTAGATGTTGACTGGATGCATTTTTCTTAGGTATCTTTCTGCTAACAATGTCATTCATTAAATAATATATTAAATAATTCCAACAGTAATAATAATAATGATGATGATGATGATGATGATGATAAAGTTGGAAGGGACTTTGGAGGTCATCTAGTCCAACCCCCTGCTCAGGCAGGAAACCCTATACCATTTTGGACAAATGGCTGTCCAGTTTCTTCTTAAAAACTTCCAGTGTTGGAACATTCACCGCTTCTGGAGGCAGGTTGTTCCACTGGTTAATTGTTCTAATTGTCAGAAATTTTATCCTTTGTTCTAGATTGCTTTTTTTAACATTCTCAGCTAAGGATGGGAATAAAAGGGATGGACGAAATAATATATATAAAGATATTGTGGCTTAGGAAAAGACTGGTTCCTCAGTCCTTATGGTTTACATCTGAGTAAATACAATAAAGGATATCTTTCCTTGGACTGAAAGAATGAGGAATGGAAGAACTGAATCCTAACCTCAGACATTGATCAACTCTTTTGTTTTCCAAACAGATTTAATAAAATGAGCTAACATATGTGAACCAGTAGATTATGAAAACTGCAGTAAAGCCTCATTCTCAGTACAGCTATAAGAGAAGTGAACCCCAAGGGAAAATTGCAGCTTTCTCAGACTACCTTTTGTAGGAAAACATCAACAAGGATTCACATTTCAGGCAAACTAAGTATCCATAATCCTTATGAAATTAAATTCATGATGAAGACAAAGAGAATTTACGGATACTGGCTCTTACCTCAGTACCTCTCTTCTGAGAAAAAAAAATCAACAACACTGAAACAGATAACAAAAATAGCTTGTATCTTTTGAAGAAGTCTGCTCGTAAATATACATAGACATTTGTATACACATATATACAGTGCATGCGCTATCGAGGATTATTTATTTTAGAATTTGAAAACTATTCGTTCTCAAAAACTCTTCAGAGAGTGGAGGTATACTGTGGACCTTCAGATGTGCATATTAGCCTTCCTTCCTTCCTTCCTTCCTTCCTTCCTTCCTTCCTTCCTTCCTTCCTTCCTTCCTTCCTTCCTTCCTTCCTTCCTTCCTCTCTCCCTCCTTGTTCCCTGCCTCCCACTATTCCTTCCCTCAGAATGTCATGATAGCACAATTCCCATTTGTAACACAACATAATATAAGCTTGAGAAGACTTAGGGCCTTGAAGATTTTCAGTCATCAATATCTTTTTTTAAAAAAAAAAAACCAAGTTTTATTGGTTTTTTTCATTTTACAAACAAGTGCTTAAGAAACAACGTGATGGCAGGGCAATCAATTGTCCACAAAACAAAGTCATACTCATAAAGTTCAGATTAAGTCATTAAAAACCTCCTCTCTTTTTCATCTAATGACATATTATATTCAAATTGAAATATTTCAATATTACTAAATTAATCATAACAATCCTCAATAATCTTTCATCTAAATAAAGCCACAAATCCAGATCCTGTGTTAAGTTTAACTATTTCACTTACTATGTTCCATACTTCTATTCTAAATACCTATTTAACACTTTGGGAGTCTCCCCATAACCTTTTTCCTTAACATATTCAATAAACATTTATTAATATCATTTCTTCTTTTTTCTTATTCCTCTTCCATTACAAAATGACTATCAGTTCTAATAAGAAAAGAAAATATTAGTTCAAGTCAGAAAGGGAAAAAAAACAAAGAAGAAAAAACAGAAACAAAACAATAACAAAAAAGAAAAGAGAAAAAATACCTTTCTATTTCTATTATTCTTTATAACCTAACAATCAGTCCCTCAATATCTGTATCAAATTTCTTTAACGTCCTCCTAAGGTTACTGTATCCAAAACATATTAACACATAGACAAAACAACTTATTATTAAATTCAAACCTTTAATTAGTTTTTATTCAATCTAACCTCTTATTTAACTGTCTTAAGCCATAAATCAATCCATATCTAAGCCTTTTAAACCCATTACATAAAACCTTAAGTCACATTCTTAAATCTTATTCTAGCTTTCCTTTTATGCCAAATCAGTTTCCATAACAAGGCCTCTATATCAATGAACAGGTCACTCTTTATGCCTTGTAGTATCCTTTGAATCAAACAGAGACGTCCTCTTTTCTGTTTTAGAGACCTAGCTCCTTTGTAAGTAATTCCTTATTGTTTTGAAAAATCAAACAGTTTGAAACTGTTGAATAGCCAGGCCAATGATGTCCAAGTTTGTAGATGATAATTGTTTATCCAAGCTACCATAGTTCTCCATTCATTGAGTTTGTCTGTCCATTTCTGTTGGTTTTAAGGTTGTAAGTGGTTTAATTGCAATCCTTTTTAGTTCCTCGGAGATCTCATCAGCATGCATATGAAATAGGATGGAATCTTCTTTACCTTTACTTTAGTTACTCCCGCTTCTATTGTTTTTTGGTCTATAGAGTGCTCAGATAAGGTCTGGGAGTCAATTTGTAGATTCAAAGCAGAATTTCTGTTTTTTTATTTCCACAGTAAATTCTTTTATTTGCGAACATATTTCATCAGTAGCTTTGTAAAGTTTTTCCAGTATAAGTTTATAGTCAAGTTGTACCAAGGGTTGCTCCATTTCAAAAATAATTAGAAACAGTCTGTATCATTTAGTAGAGGCTATGTTCAAAAAACATATCAATGTCCACCCCCACCAGTACAGCTATTAATTTTCTTTGTATTTTTCCTTTTATGGTAGTCTGAAAATCAAGGTCAGTCTGATCATCAGAAAAAAGAGAAAGTTGCAATTTTAACTTTTTCCACAAGGTGTCCTCAGTACAATGTAAAGTCTTCTCCCATAGACCAGAAATCTCATAAACAGGAAACACAGAAAAAAGAAAAATTCAAGTCCAATAGCAGATTCAATATTAAAACATTTTCTAAGACCCCAAAGTGAAGAAAAAAAATAAAAATAGAGAAAAAAAGGTCACTTTAAATTAATTCAGTCCATAAGCTTCTTTTTCCCACACTCCTTCCTCATTTCCCAATGCCGCCTTCTCAGAGCAGGGAAATGATTTCAAAAGTGCTTTTTACAGGCACAAAAAAGAAAAAGGAGAACCAAGAGAGGAAAGGAAAAAGTCTCACCCGGCTCAGCCATGGAGGTTCCTGTGCTTAGATGTTCTTCTGACTTCTGGTTACAGCAGCCATTTTACTGGATGTTCTTTCCATCGTCGGCCCAAAGGAGCAATCTCGGTCCTTGGAAGAAGCTACCACTCTCCTAAGGACAACAAGGACCTCCTCACTGGTAGCCGCCCCTCCAAGGTGGCTTTTCGACCCGATTAAGAGTCTACCGGCAGCGGAGAATCAGCTGGCGAAGAGAGCAGTCTCATCGCACAGCTGCGAGCGCCGCGATCTGGAACTGGAAATCCAGAAGATTTTCAATCATCAATATCTTATCCCATTTAAATCTGTCCCAGAGCATTTGGGAAAAATTTGGGGTTTCCTTCTTATGTGGAGTGAACAAGCTCAGAGGCTGATAAGGATGTAGGACAAGAATGTTAATTTGTATTCCCTTCTTTTCTAGGCTTAGGTTATCAAACATCCAAAAAAAAAGATGGTTAGATACTTCTACAACCCATGGTCATCAGAGTATATCCTAAATATTTATTACATCTATATTTTACAGACCATCTTTTTTATTTCATTCTTCCTCCTATGACAAGTACAGTTGTTTGAAAACTTTCTGACATTATGTCTCTGCCATCAAATTCATATTGAGAACAGACTGGAATTGTGTAAGATCAATCTCAAAATAAGAGTGTACCTCATTACATTTCAATATGTATTTTACTTCAGCATGTAACTTTATTTTATTGCATGCATTTGTTACTTAGTACAGTGAGACAACATCACATTGGATATCTTTGCATCGCTAAATAAGTGAAACAATTTTCATTAATCTGCATCAGAGCATCTTGTTGTCGTAATTGAGAAAATGTTATATTTACAGATCAGTAAGTAAGAAGTAGTACACAATAATTTTGGTGTTAGTCATTTGAGCTTTTGTGATGTTGCAAGAATTCTTACATTTAATTATGATGGTAACTGATTTTGAGATCAGTGATCTGTGACAAGACAGAATTATCAAGTGCTTAATAGTCTGTTCCATTTAATTGGTGACTTTTATATATTACATAAGCTTTTTAAAAAGCCACACTCATTTAAATAGAATTGCCATTAATATATTACTCTTTTAGTTGCTTTGATAATGAAAATGTACAACCTCTGTGGCAAATGAGTACAATCATAAATTAAACATAATTTAAAATGAAAAAAAAAACTAATCTGTAAGTTAGCAAATGCAAATACAAAAGATGGAAGAAATATTGAAATGATGGCTTTGGTTTAAGCCCATTAACACTAAGACACTGAGCTAAAGATGTCTTACCCACTTAGCAGATGTTGCTTCCAGTTTCTAATTATGACAGATAACTATTAAGCAAAAAATAATAGAAAAAAAATTAGTTATTTGAGAAATCCTAATAAACAAAATGAATAAAGGAGTCTGGTAAGATCACATCTAAGCATTGTAACGTGTATTGCACAGTATATTCTTAGAGAGTTTTCAGTTACTTCTTATATCAATGTCACATATAGCACTTTTATTGTGTATAAAGACAGAGTTGCTTGCGTGTGTATATGTGTGTGTTTATGTATATGCACAGGGCTTTTTTTCTCATAGAACGCCCAGAACGGAGTTCCAGCACCTTTTTTGGATGGAACCTTGTAGGGTAGGCAAGGCGGGTTGTATGACAACGGAGTTCCGGCACCTTTTTTTTTTTTTTTTTTAGAAAAAAAGCACTGTATATGTATATCA